AAAATCCCTTGTGCACTACCTGCTCAGCAGCAAGACAGAAAGACGTGCATTGATTCGCTCAGCTGATCCTTGTTCCACTCTGTCTCTCTCACCCACACACACACACACACACATTTACAACTGTGTGAACAGCTCCTCCCTCCATGTCAGTCGCAGAGACCCAACTCTTCTAATAAGCTATTAGCAAGCTAATAAGGATAGCTAAGCTAACATTAGAATAGCACAGCTGTGACCGAGGCTAGCACGCTCCCTCAGTCCAGAGGAATATTGAAAAATGTTTTCCTAGACTCCAAGGACTTGTCCACAGGCAAATTGGAACAGAAACTTAAGAAAACGCACATGGGAAAGCTGACCATTCCAACCAGTGTGATTAGCGATCCAGTTAATTTGTTTTGATTATTTCTAGGCTTCACCCAGTGCTGCTGAAGCAGCAAGAGAGGCTCAGGAAGAGAAAGATGTAGAGGGGAGGAGGACAGCAGCCAATATGGTGTTGTGGGGGAGCTCCCCCCATCCCCGGTCAGCTACCGCCATAAGTACACTGTAATTCTGTGGGGAAACACTGGGTAAGTGAAAGATTTAAGTGAACCATACTTGTTAAATACTGTAGCCTAAAACCACTGGAGTTTTAGACACAAATTTCTTGAAAGCAAGATCCCCTCTAAGAAATCTGTCCAGTTTATGTGGTTCCGTCTTAATAAACCTTTGTAAGCATTGCATGGTTACTCATTTTTAATGAATTGGATTCTTTTGAATCTTCTGGCTGCATACTTTTTTATGTCATAATATACTGTAAAAACAACAAGGAAACTCTGCTTTTCCTGCTCTGGGAGTAAAGGATCGGATCCCTCTGTTTGACTCTGTACGACTTAAACAGAAACTCTCTTCTATTCACTATGATAAATGAGAACCAGTTCAACAGACACCAAACTGTCTTCTCTCAGACATGCAGAAGGTATGACTGCATGCACACACACCACCACACTCTGTTGACTCCCATATGTTCCCATACCGTAGCTGGGATTTATGCAAACATCATGTTGCAGGACAGGAAGGAGTCTTTCCCCTCTCAGATTCTTTACATTCTTCCTTAGCAGAAAGGTCCATTTATAGTTAACGGCCCTAGCTAATTCCCATGGCACGACTTCTAGAAATGGCCTGCTTCAGACTGTTTCACCACACAAGTCCTGTCCTGAACATGGGCTGTTATCTTCTTACCCAAATAATCTCAGGAAATGTGACATGCAGCCCTATTGCCCAATGTACAATATGTGATGTATGTGAGATCTCAGCCCTCATGTCCCTTTGCCAGCAAAAATAAAGACTATTCCAAAGTCCTCTCAATGGGAAAATCTTACAGAGTAGCATTCCTCAATGCCCCGGCTGCAGCAGAAGAGGAAATCAGAGGCAGACATCAGGTTTCTTAAAGGCCATATGGTACATAATGCTGAGCGCCCTTATTGCATTTCAGAGGTGTCATTACTATTAACAGGTGTTTTCCTATCAGATAAAAGCATCAGGAGTGCAGAGTTGAGTTAGAAAGCGGTTTCATGTCAGCCAAACCATAAAAATGTGGTGGTGCTCTAATGAATATATCCATGTTGTTGTTTGTTTTTTTCCATAATCTTTACTATGTAATGCTGTTAACTAGCACAACACATTCATTTGTCTGTCTCAAATAAAACCACAACATTTTAGAAGACCCACTCGCATCTGCACCTTCTTTTACTGACATTTTGATTGTTTGCCAGAAGTTTTTATGTGTCTCTACTATTTACCTTATAGAAGGTCCTAGGCGTTGTTTCGTCAGTTTTTGGTTATCAGCGCCAATACATTACCTCTATTGTATTGTTATACAAATTCTCAAACAGTACATTTTAAAAAGGGAGTATAAAGATTTTTTTTCCACCTATCTAACAAAACATGTTTAACTGGCTGAGCAAATGTATCAGTCAATATAAGCTTATCACATTACTATAATGCCAAGGATATGTTTCAGGTCATTTAGAAAGCTATTAATTAAGATATTAAATATCTCAATCTCTCATAGTTCTTTAATAACAAAATTTAAGAAATCTTTATCAAAAATCTTTGACTCTAGTATCTGTATAGCCTGGTTTCAATTTAGAAAAGGGTTATGTTGTTGTAGTTGTTTTAAATCAAGGAACAAGTAAGTGAGTTACTGACCATGTTAGCATCAATTTTAAATACTTGGAACATTGTAATACTTATGCCATAGACATATTTTAGGCAGCACTAATTCTCAACATCACAAGATCATAAATGAAACAAAGGTGCACTAATTAATTGATTCAATAGCTGACATAATCATTTCTGCTATTAATTACTTTTGTTAATTGATTAATGGAGTTGTTTTCTGGCAAACATGCTAAATACTCTCTAGCTCCACCTTCTCCATAGGAACACTTGCTGCTTTCTTTGTCTTATGTGAGAGATAATTTGGAACACAGAAAATGGCTTTCATGAAAATTATGACATAATAATGTTGTAAAAAGTTAGCAACTAACTCTGATGATCAGTCTCAGATCTCTCTTGAAGACCAGCCCTGGATTTCAGCAGGTCTATTGTATAGATCATTAAAAAAAAAACAACAATATAAAGATCAACCAACCAACCAACCAACCAACCAACCACAGCAGCACCATGGCACGCCATATCAACAACAAGCATGCTGCTGTCTCATCATTTATTCATAAAGTGATGCCACTCCTTCTTCAGGACTATTGGAAATGTTCCAGAAGCTCAGAAACCATGTATTTCATTTACAGCATGGAGCTTTAGGTGGCCATCTGAAGACGGTGAAGGGCGAGCACTGCTGCACACTCACTGTTACTTTAAATCACAAGTGCAACCAAGCAGAATTTCCTTGTCAGTACAAATATAGCATCCCAGTATCCTCAAACTTATTTGACTCCCTCATCAACCAGCCACCTACAACAGCCATCTGAGAAAGAATGTTTTAGAAACCAATAGGTTCTCCAGACCCAACACCATCCCCATGTTCCCAGAACAACACACTAGGCTGTTTTAGGATTCCAAGATGAGTTTGGGATGACATGTAATCGACGTTATAACAAAAATAGAAACATCTAGGTTTGGGCATTTTAATAATACTGTATATACTGTGAAGCAATATGAATTTGTCAAGCTTCAAAGTTTTTGACCTACCATTAATACTGTGATGACTAATATCTCTGGCTGTTTTATACCTTTTGTGAAAAATGCTGCAACTCAGTATTGTACATTAAAGCACCTGCTTCTCAGACCTTAAAGCAGCTCCAATCAATATTTTATGTTAACAATGGGACATATAACTTCATGTAATGAGAAAGGGGTCACAGGGAGTTATCACCAACTCCACAGCTCCCTTCATGTCTATGGAGCATTTTAGTGTCTTTCAGCTCAGCGTTTTTTTTTTTTTGTTTGTTTGTTTTTTTATGGCCCACAGTTTTGCCGTTTTGAATCACTCTGGCAGCTCTCATCAACCTCATTTCCATGTTAAGCAGGCAGCAGTACACAGTGAAAACAGCTGTGATAAACCCAATGTCCACTAGCTGGTGTGCATAATAGAACATACACTGATCAGCCATAACATTATGACCACCAGCCTAACACTGTGTACACAGGATTCAATGCAGCAGTTGGTTGGCACTTGTGTCACTCTGCAGCTCACTGTGCATCTTCTGTGAATTCATTTGTGTCAACTGTTCAGTGAAAAACTTGTGTAAAAGGAGTGAAAACTGTGGTTGTGAGGACGAGTTAGAGAAAATTTTTTAGACCATTTCAACAGCCTCACCACTCTAGGTGTGATATCACCACTACAGTTCCTGACTCTCTCTCTTCATAGAGACCAATAGACAGTATTTATCATTTTCAACCATTTTAACAAAGATTCAAATAAATTAGAATGTTCTGAAAAGTACAAAAGGAAGTTAAAAGTTTAATATACAGTGGGTCAACCTCATCATCAGTGAGCTGTGGGCATCCATGACCCTGTCTCCAGTTCACCATTTGTCCTTCCTTAGACACTGCTGGTAGGTACTAACCACTGAAGACCAACAACACCCACCAAGACCTGCAGTGTGGGAGATGCTCTGACCCAGTCATCTCACCATCACAGTCTGGTCCTTGTCAAAGTCACTCAGATCCTTACACTTGTCCATTTTTCCTGCTTCCAACACATCAACTTTGAGGACTGAATGTTCACTTGCTGCCTAATATACCCCACACACTGACAGGTGCCACTGTAATGAGATAATCGGTGTTATTCACTTCACCTGCCAGTGGTCATAACGTTGTGGCGGATCGGTGTATTGGATCATATTATTTTATTATCAGTTGCTTGCTTGACTAATAGGTGAACTAGTGGGTGGTATGAACTTATCTGTATTGTTTTATTTGTGTTTGTCATGATTGATTGGCTAGAACACACTTGAAAAAGAGATGAATTAATTGTTAATCTCAATGAGGTTTTCCTGGTTAAATAAAGCTTAAATAGAATAAATATAGTAAAATCTAGCAGCTAAAGAGCCATACATTTTTCCTGGAGTTGATGGAGACCAAAACAGATCAAAATTATCATGAAGGAGGAAGACTTAACATGAAAAAGCACATTCAACAAACTTTCACTTGAGGACAGTGGGCAGACGGTTGTAGGACAACTGTGAAACAAGTATGGAGCCCTGGGTACAGAAAGAATCTGATTGCTACGTTTTATGACGTCTCATTTGGCAGGCCAGAGGAGCCCTGTGAAGGCAAGTATTCTCCATACATTAATATATTACATTATCAACCATATGCACTGAGCAAAGGCCACATCCAAAAAAAGATCAGCTGCAATGCTAACCCTTCTGACTGGTCAAGAAAACCTTGCTGAATAAGAATTTTGTGAAAAATACAGCATAAAACATTGTGATGCTATAGCACTGACACTGGGCCAGTGATGTCACAAGCTCCCTGACATTCACATGTTTTCAACCTACCTCATCAAAGCCGCTGTCCTCTTTCTTGAAAGCTGCAGAAAGAAGACATAAAGAGAGAGTCAGACACCGCCTGGATTGACATCTGTTGAAGAATTGACAAAAGTCTAATGGCAAAGATGCAGCACGGTGCACAAACTGTGCCAAGATTTTTCAGGAATTCATTTTGTGCTCATTAAAGCAGTGTTGAAGAGTAAGATGAAGAGTTCACCAGTGCTGCTGACAACTCACTCTTCTAATGGGGCAGAAAGATTCTAATATACACTAACATATTCAACCCAAGCACAAACGTTGTAAATTTTTATAGGTATGGGTAAAATGTGGTAGTAAAACTGGGAATTTTTACAATCTATGTCAGAAACAAGAGAAAGAGCCCACATTATCACACTTTATGTCAACATCTTTCTAAATTGCTAAACCTTTGATTAAAATATAAAAAAAGAAAAACATTGCTATCTCATATCCAGTCTTACTGACACTGGATATCCCCAGTGATACACCTGATGTTTTACTGTAATGCCACAAACAACCCCCTTTATTTGGTCATCTTTCCACCTTTATTTGAGGTTTTCAACCAGCCAACATGTGATCATACAGACAAAAACATTTTTCCCTTTGACTGGTACTAACACCAGCCAGACAGAGTACGGACCGAGTGATTACTACCAGATCTGTAAGACCCCACAGTTAGTGGATGGTCTATACTGGCAGCCTTTCCCTTACACTGGTGAGTCTCTTTACAGACTGAAAGCAGTTCCATCTAACAGGTGCACACTGTTAAGGCCAAATTACTCATGGCAGATCCACTGGTTAAGAAACATCTCTACTTATGTGCAAACTAAACAGTTTCTACTGCAAATCATCAGGCAACTTAGAGAGCGACATGCTGAGAACAGTTCACACAGTCTACTAACCCCACCAGGGCTGTCCATTACTGTTGGTCCTCCACCAGTGTCTTCATCCAAAACATGCAGTGATCATGTCAGAATATGCAACACTATTTCATTACAAGATTGTTAACAATCATCTAATTGGCAAATCTAGACTTAAATAATTATTCAAAATAATCTAAGAACTAATGAAATATAATATGAAAAACTAGGCCATGTTTTAAAATCTTCTTTCACTGTTCAGATGGCACTAAGGAGGTATTTAACAACAGCTCCTCAGCATGTGTCATGTGAACTCAAAAGTTAATTTAATTTAAAAGAAATGTTGCCTGATCCCAGCAGGGGTCTGCATTTGAGCTGCCGCATTCATATTTTGAACCACTGTATGTCCCATGTAACAAATAGTGTCTTGTGAGAAAAACTCTCCACAGCATTCCTAAAATGTCAGTGTGTCATGATGAGGGTACACCTGTGTTTAAAGGAGGTGAAAGTAGTGTGTATGACTGCCACAGCTTATAATGGCACAGTGACACCAAAATTTGCTTCCCATTCTGTAGGATGGATGTCCATCCACCAGTTGTTGTGTGCATTTTCAATGTATGCATAAAAAACCTGAGTTCCATATTTTTCACTGATTGAGGTTTGACTGGTGCTCCTCATCTTGTTAAGTCTTCTTCTCCTTCTTCTGTTTAGTGGCATCCCACAGGATAGATACATAGATAGACAGACACACACACACATATGGGAAACATAAATTTGCTACAACTGCACAGTGAAATAATGCGAATAATATAAGCATCAGAGACAGGAGACTGGAGGCAGTAGGGCTGCAGTTAGTCATATACATGGGGATCTGTTTAATGTTGGGCTACACTATGTGAGTACATTTCACAAGGTAGATTTTGGTCCAACTTTATTAGAATGGTAAATTCAAATGCACACCCCCAGGGCTTGTGGACTGAGCCCTCACCAACATTTGTCATCACATCAAGTCTGTGAATGTGCTGGATTTTACCAGGTGAAGGTTTACAATCTCCACTGTGACACACTGTTTAGATCCTCATTCCTTTCTTTCACTGCACTTGCTCCCTGGTCCTGGCTTGACCTGGGCATCCATATTAAACAACTATGATCAGATCTCATACACATTAAGTATGTGGAACTAGAAAGCCTGTCAATAAACATGCAGTGCCCCTGGCCAAGGGAAGTAATGCAGGATACTCACAAGGAACATGCAAGGTGTGGGTCAGGTGGAGACAGCAAAGTCCTCCTGAGGCCACCCTTAGCCTACTTTTGGTTGCTTTACTCACTAGCTACTGTTGCTTATCAAAGTCAGTGGAGAAGATTTCTAGCATTGATGTTAGCACAGCCACCCGTCTGTCACGGGACTCTTGTCTTGCACATCCTAGCATGCCAGTGTCCTGAAATGACTCGTGAGGGCTCTAGTTCTTCTTTGCAGAGGAAGAGCTCATCTGTAGCCTTTTATCTAACCGCTTGAGATGGAGCAAGGTGATTGTTCAACATGTGAGGCAGATGTTTTTCTTAAGGATGCTGTCACACTGTTCTGTACACATTGGTCCTGGCCAAAACAGATCTCAGTGTAAGCCAAACTATGACCATCGCATAGCATTCAGAGTGAAATCCCTTCGATGTTTCATTTACATCTGAAAACATGTTTATTCTTATCCAGATACAGATCTACTAAAACCAGGTGGAAATGGAATCATTAGGACCAGTCATCTGGTGATAACAAGAGTAAGAGCAAGGCTCAAACAGCAATAAAACTAGTGGTGGGGGTAAAGGCCAAATCCGGACAGCAAATATAGGTGGAGGTCATGCTGGATGCCAAACTCTGGCAGTTGTAGCTCATTTATAGCTGTTCCAGAACCATGTTCCTGACATCCATCTCCATTAAATCTGGTTATTAGGATTTTTTTCACATAAAGGTGAGTAATGACCTCCCATATTGCAGACTTAATGTATATGTTGCATTCCACGTGTTGTTGTAAGGATAATGCACCATAAAAAAATTGTCTGTGATACCTGAAACCTTCAAAAAGTATAGAAATAGCTATCTAATTATTTCTTACTTCTAAATCCAGTGTTCCTGACATTAATTGCAGAGGATGACAATCTTGCATTTGACATTAATATTCTTTATCTACTATAAAGAGGAAGAGAGTGAACAACACTGCATCCTCCTTCACAGTTAGTTTGTGTTTGCAGCCTTCTTTTACATGGAGAGTATTATTATTATTATTAGCTACAAAATGATTTTTCAGTTATTAATTCCTCATGACAGTATAGATAAGAGACAGAATGCTCTGAGGGCTGTTTCCCAGTAAAATTACTTATTTATGTCAGAGTGGGTGTTTGAAAGCATTGTGCGCCCAGCCACTGAACCATTAAACTGCTGCTTCTTTGTCCTCACACACACACACACACACACGCACACGCACACGCACACACACACACACACACACACACACGCACACACACACATTCCCCAAAGACAAAGCTGATGCTACAGAAAGCATCATCTTTGCAACACAAAATCTCTGCTCTGGCTGACATATAGGATTTAGTGTGCTCCATCTAGTCAAGTCGGGAAATAACCTACAACATTTTGGGAAATGTCTGTTCATATGTTTTTGTTGTTGTTGTTTTGTGTTCCCATTTTTAGTAGATATGTTTTTTTTAAGGAAAAAAAAAACGTTTATGTTCTGAGCTATACTGCTATTTAAATTGTGACCATTTGCTAAAAAAATAACCCCCAGGCCTACATCCTGTTTAGTTCCTCCTGGGTTCCCAGTCAGAGAAAAGTTATCAAAAAGTTTTTCTACAGTAGAAATTGCTGAGTCAGCTAACATGAATGAATCACAATATTCATATTATTTGAATATTTCTACATCTCTTGATACCTACAGCTATTTTAGCCAGTTGAAATTATAACCAATCTGACAGTGGTAAGTTACATCAGCTTTTAAAGCCCTGAATCCTGGAAGTCTGGTTTCTGTCTTTTTATGGTAGTTAGTTTAAAGTGCTAACTGTATATTTTGACAACTTGGTCTGCCAGCTATATTGTATTTACTGTCAAATGCTATTAAACTAGTCACAGAGAAAATGTGTCCACAGCATGACATTCTATTTTAATGGTGTTTTTAAAGTGCAGAAAGACACAGTGCCCGTGTTGTTCAAAAATCTATGTTATACTGGTTTACTTATGTCAAACTTGCTTACTCATCTTTGAAAAAACTCACTTTGGCACCATATAGTACACCAGAAAACAGCAAGGATATAAGAGCTCCTTTGTTAATGCCTCTGCTGCAAAATTTGCCAGTGACAGTTGTCATTATAGGTATAAAACCCGTCTTACCTCCTCCAAAAGAGATGTTTTAACTTGTCTGTTTTTTTTCCAGTTGTATTCTGGTATGGAAGTTTTTTTACTGTTTCTGCCTTGAAATTCTGTGTAGGTTGTATTGTTTTAGCAGTGTTTTTTAGCAGTTATACATGTTTTGCTGTATTTGGAGTTGTAAAGTACTATATAAAGTTTTATTATTATTATTATAAAAAATGATGGTCACTAAAACTTTCACCTCTTACATCATGATACAAGTCATGATTAAAGGAACAATTCAACATTTTAGGAACATGCCACCCTCTGTCCATTAAGCAACAAAGACAGAGCCAGGATGAGAGTAGCCTTACTTAGCACTGGAAACAGGGAAACAGTTTGTGGTCAGCCAGGTAAAAATAAAATATGCCTATATAAACACCTATACTTAAAACGTACAGCATCCTATATGCACAAACAAAGTCTCCAGTTTGAACAATTTCTTGGCCGAACACTGTGACATCACAGTTAGACTTGAGCTATATTCACGACTAAAAAAGAAGCTTCTGCACACGGCTTGTGATTACTGTGTATGTGACGCAGTGCGTGCGCTCATGTGCTTTGTCTGCAATATAGTGTTTACATTTCACTTTTTGATATGAATAGAGAGATGCTCTGACAACTTTTAGGAAAACATCAGGTAAAGGTGCCTTATTTGTGGTGCAGGACAGCCTTAGAAGCATTCAGTGAAGAATACATACCTGTCAAAATATTCTGAACTTGATGCTGGTGAGATGCTGTCAAAGCATTCTTGTTCACTGGAAATAGACTCTATATTATATTTATTTCCAGGGAGCACAGAAAATTAAAGAAGCACTTTCTGAAGAAGAAGATGAGAGGGAGACACAGAGAGAAAATAAAACTGTTTTGTCCAAATTCACCATAGAAAAAGACAAAAAAAATGTTTGATCTAAAACCCACAACACCTCATTACTGCTTCTACAGCTTTTCACACTGCATCTCTCACTGATCGAGGTTACAAGATAAACAGTAAGAAGCCAAAGTTGTCTCTCATACAGAGGTGTATGTGAGACACTCACCACTAATTTAACATCAGCCATGTGCTGAGGGATGAAGCCACCAAACATGTTACCCAGTGTTTTATCTGCAGACTGGAGAACCTACAGTAAATCTCGCTAAGGCGTATTTATAGCTGACATTATCAGAATATTTCATCTTTACTTATCCAGAGAAGTTTCACTGAACACCAAAGCTCTTCTCCAGGAAGGCACCGCTTCAAAAAAGCCTTTTTAAATGTGAAAACAACACACTGTGCATTCACACTTGAAGGTCATTTTTGTAAAGATCTACATCCACACTAAAGCACCTGAGCATTAGCGGAACAGTGGAAACTCTTCATCCTATTTGAGCCACCAGCCCACAAAATGTTGCACCCTATTTAGATCAATGAGGAAACACCTCTCTGCAGTACAGTTATAACGGTAAATGGACTGCACCTATAGAATGTTTTGTAAAAGGGCACTCAAAGCGCGTTACAATGAATGAATGAATGAACCTCTGGTATATTGTTTACTTGTCCCTTGCTGTTGCCTTGCACAGGGATATGTACGTGCAACACTGAGAGCCGCTCGTGTCCAGCACACCTGCCCAATAAAGCTGACTCTGATTCTGAATTCACCCATTCACACGCCATGGCAGCAGAGCTGCCATACAAGGCCAGGGTTCAGTGTTCTGCAGACACCTCGACATGTGGACTGGAGAATCTGATTGAACCACCGACTCAGGTACGCAACTAGGGTACGAGCTCTTCTACCTCCTGAGCCACAGTCGCCCACAGCAGTCCACCAGCAACACAAACTATAACCTCCAAACTGACCACACAGATGAACCAATACCTCTCTGAAACTGTTTCAGCAACACCTGAACATCACCTTTATGGCATGACATTTGTTTTAGCATGTATGAAAGCTACAAGAAGGAGCCAGCATAGTGAACAGAAGGGGAAAAGCCATGCTTTGCCATTTCAGCTGGCTTTGTATAGATGTACTGTTAATCACATTTTACACTCTAGAGCCGCAGTGACACACCGATCTCATGGCTGCTCCTCAGAAGCAGGTGGGGGTTAATTGCCTGGCTCAAGGGCACCTCAACCTCAGTAATGAGGGAGGAGAAGCCTCTGTCACCACCTAGATCTATCTTCCAGGTCCAAGGATCAAAACAAACAGCAGGAAAACAATAAATGGGGTTTTGAAAGGGAAAATCACAGGCTGACATAAAAGAAAAAGAGTCTAAAATGGCATAATTGTGGAAATAGTGATCTGTTGGCTTTGTTAAATCACCCAATCAGAATGGAAACTAGCCTTTAGTTATTTAATCTCTGGGAGGGAGACCCACACACACACACACACACACACACACACAACAGGTCACATGCTCTTAGATACCTGAGCTCATGAGAACCAAATCTGAGCTCACGGCTCCAAAAAGGCCAAGAAACCCTGCATCAGTCTATTAAACTGGTTTGCAACTATTAGAAAGAAACTATCCAAAATGAATTCTGTTGCACACTGCCATAACTTGACATGCAGCCTTGCCCACCGGGACCATTGGATCAACACTGGTATGAGCACATAAACAATAAAGCCAACTTTTTAATTTAGGCAGGACGGCAGTTCACCGACAGGAGAGGAAAGCTCTGTGCCAGTCTTTCTTCTCCTGCAACACCAACCCAAACTCCCCTCTGTTCATCTCTCATCTTTTCTAACAGGCCACATCCAGCCATTCAGTCTCCACACAGACTGCTTCAAAGGCCACCGCACCCTGTGAAGATCTTTGCATCGGGAGTGTGTGTATGTTTGTGAGTATGAAAAGAAAAAGGGAAACAGAGAGAGAGAAAGAGAGAGATGAAATGAGATTTGATTGGTGCACACTGATAATCAGTAAAGTGATATGGTCTATATGTGTATGTGTGTGATGTCACATATGAGGTAGCTTTATCAGCATAGAATCCATTATTGGATAAGAATTTTATTTAAAGTGTGAATGAGATGATAATAATGGCAGTGATGATGCAGGGATTTTACCTGCAGTTTACACATATGGTGCACAAAAGCACACCACATATTTTTCATTACATTACTATGAATCAGAGGCTGACAGATTTATCATTATTCAGCAGACCAATTTAAATACTCTTTTTCTTTTCCTGCCACTGAAAATTGACTTTTTTAAGTTTTGGGCTGTTAGACAAACCAAACACTGAACAACTTGGACTCTAGAGGTTTTACCATTTTCTAATATTTCATCAATTAACAATTTCTTGAGCAATCACAAAAATAATGCATAATTTATCAACAATAACTGTTAGTTGCAGACCTACACTACATATATCATTGAAAATCTTTGGACTTTTGAACTGTTGGCCAGACACAACTATCCATCCATCCATTTTCTAAACCGCTTAGTCCCAAACGGGGTCACGGGGGGCTGGAGCCAATCCCAGCCAGCTGCGGGCGAAAGGCGGGGTACACCCTGGACAGGTCGCCAGCCCATCGCAGGGCCAACTAGACACAACTAGATCTCTGAAAATGTCACCCAAGGCTCTGGGAAACTCCAACAGGCATTTTTCACAAGTTTCTGGCATTGTAAAGAGTAAACATACACTATTCATTCAACTGAAAAAATATGGACAGCTTATTCAACAACACAAATAACTATTTAGTTTCAGGCCTAATAACATATTATCACAGATAACATCAGTCATGAAGATGCCCCATGTAAAAAATATCACAATCACAGGAGTTAATATAACCAATAAACCAAATGTAATGCCCATGGCACAAACTAAACATCAGCTGCTGCTACTAGTGCTGCCTGCAGCAATGCCTGTAGTGCCTATATAATGACTCCTTTTTGTAAAATAATTAATTAGCATCGTCTTAACCTGGAACAGTTGAGTTTACTTATACTGAGGGATGATGGTATTTATTGCTGTACAAGTATACAAGTCTAAGGCAGGTTTAAGCCCAAGACGCGGGACTGGAACACAATGCTAATGATAATGTTGACTGATACAGTAACTGGAGCTGACCTCAGAGAAAAATCAGTATCAGCTTATACGCTGGCCAACAAGCAACACGAGATCATTCAGAAACAGCCTCAGCACTGCAGTCTGTCCACCACAGGTACATCTCTTGGTCCCGGTTGGTTTGCTCTACTGTATGTGTTTTAAAAAAAAAAAAAGAAATCAGAGCTGAAATGACTAGTCTATTAACAATGATATGTAACTATGAATTATAATTGATCTAAACCAGATCAACCAACAACTATTTTGAAAACTGTGGTTTGAACAGAGCCTGACGAAGGCTGTGTGCCGAAACATGACGGCCTTCTCATTAAAGTTGCTCAAAGCACTGCAACTGTTGATCAACTTTTTGTTTTCCAAATTCGTGCTTTTTCAATTAAATGTCAAACATCCTCAATTCTAACATACAGAAGCCCAAATATACTGAAACGCTGGTCAGACAACACATGCATTTTAAAAAAGTCAGTGACTGTAATGATCACGTTTCATTATTTTATGACATTTTAGAAACCAAAGGATTACTCTAGACAACTGGCAGATTAATCCATAGTGGGAAAATGACTAGTTTTTCAGCTACTATGTGTATTTCAGTGAAATGCTAACAGAAAATTATCTTACTGGATTCCACACCTTTTGCTAAATCAGTAAAGGCTTCAATTATTTGTTGAATTTCCAATGTCTTGTTTTGCCCTACTAACCCAAAAGTTTCTATTATCATATCAAACTGAGAAAATCATAGTCCTAAGTTTATTTTCCTACAAACCAATTTGAAAATGCCGAGGCACATTCTATACACTGCATGTGGATAGGTAGAAAAACGGTTAGTGAGGATTACTTTGTCGTCGTGCACAAAGTGGCAGGAAAATGGGTTAGCAAATGGTAAAATACGTCCCATTACTCACCGATACTCCTGAAACTCTCGGACAAAGTTCTCCTCAACTTTTTCATTTTGCCGATCTTCTCCACGGGCTGGGAGGCTGGCATCAGGTCGCACATTTTCCTTCCTTGTTTCACCGACCTGCGTAAGGGACTGTCTTGTGGCTTGAAGCGGGGAAGGAGGACCGGTGGTCGGTCAGCCCTGCGGGGCTTCCTCAGCCCAGCTGCAGCGCGCTGGCAAACACAGGAAACGGAGCCTCCGCGGCTCTCGCTTCTCTCATCAACTAGTAAGAACAAATGCCTTCTTGAGATTTTCTCAAGAATGCAACTACATTTCTAAAGGCAACAAAAGTTCGAGCTGAATCAGAAGCATCCAAACTGGAAACCATGCGTAATTTGCTACGCCTGTCGTGATCCTAAAATCAGCTCTAGGTCTGATTTCTTTCTTACCTCACAGACCCGCTCACTCCCTGCTCCACCAAAATCTAGATGTCATTTTTGGGACTTTCTCGCTGGTTTCGACCCAAAGACCCCGCCCTGATGGGGTGATTGGAGGACTCCCGGAGAGCACTGCGTTTCTATTTGTTATAAAAGCTGTCCGTCAAAGAGCCAACGCCGCACTACAATGAGCTGCAGGAGGAGCGATATTTTCTTGGAGAACCAGATCGTTGTGAGCGCTTCTGCTTGAGATTGCTGCCCTCTGCAAGACCCGGTCATTGTGTGCAGGTCGATGTACTCCACATACCTCAGCTTCGTCTGGGTTGATCTCACCTGAGAAAATCACAGTTGATCTTTTAGACTTAAATAAATACAAATACAAAGCAGAACCCGGGATAACCTGGCAGTTTTTGTAAATATAACGGAGCTCAGTTGAGATAAATACATAAAAGTCCGTATATAGCTACGCTAACATATTGAGTTATCTTATATCATTTCGTGCATTCGACTAAATATTTTAAGATATATATTTACAACAGTTCAGTCAATTAACATACATTAGTATATTTGGGACAAAAAGAGCTGTGGGATTATCTGAGCTGTCCAAACCCTGCATCAGTAATCTAAATCCTGCCGCAGTGAGCTGATGAACTGTGCTGTGCTCCTGTCATGTGCTGGCTGGCATCTCCATTTTGATCTGTCTGATCAGTGCTGCAGTCACCACAGCAGCCGCATGAGTAATTTAGTCAGAGGTATCAAAAGAACAGTGGTGTAGCAGTGGTATATACTGTACCACAACATGACTCCATGTTTGGATGTGGGGCTCAAATAAACTGTTAGAAACCAGCACCATCTGGAAGTGTCTCTGGAATGCAGAGGACTGAAATGTTTCCCTACTGCTGCCTCATTACTTTGACTTGAGCACAGGGATAATTGAGACAAATGTACAGCTTCATTAGTCCAAATTGGTCATTTATTACCATGTTTGTCAATGATGCACACACATTTAACTCAAATTGAGCAGCACACCTCTAGAACCCAAGTAGGATTTCAAAACAGGATTTTGAAAAAGAGATAACTAATTGAGTTGCTATTAGGGGTGTGATGAGATCACATGCCACAGAATCTCATGATATTAAAATGTAACACTATTTCTCGTTGAGGCAAAAGCTGTCTCGCAATAAAATAACGTGTGCATATATACATAACAGAACCAGATCAGTATGTTGGAGTGTGACCATACAGTCACATTAGTCTGGCAAAAATGCAACTTCCTACTGTGTTTTAACACATGGGGCTGTGTTGGTTCGGGGTGAGGGGTCGCAGGGGGAGTGTTGTAGGCATGTATGACATTGTGACAAGTCAACGTGAGTGCCTTCATTCACGTTTCCAGCCTGAGAGTTTCTGCTGTGTTTTGGTTAGCCATGCTGCTAAAGTAGGCTACCACCGGTGTGTCAGCACTGATAGATATAAACACAGTTTAACGCCCAGCACATGGTGAGTCATTATGGTGCGTTAACTGTGGTCCAGGTTTGACAGTGAACAGCAGTGAATGCTTATGCTAACAAGGTAAACAAAAGAGTCTTCTTCCTGTGAGCATCCACATCCAGATGATGTCACCATCCAGTGTGGTGAGGGTGAAAAGAGCATAGAAGGTCACACACAGCTTCAATAGGTGGGTTGCAAACATGGGACTATTATGACGTGTGAAACTCAGATGGAGGGCAAGAAATGAAAAACAGAATGAAGAGATAAAGTCTGTATTGTGCCAGTTTAAACGATATTAGGAGAAAAGGTCTGTCTGTCACTTTCGGTTGTTCCTGTTAGGGGTCACCACAGCAAATTGTCATACTGAGGATTTGAATGTTGAAATTTGGCATGTGGATGCCCTTCCTGACACAACCCTGAATTGAACCCGGGCCGCAGCAGGGAGAGCACTGAATCCTAGCCATTAGTCCATCATGGACCCCTATTAGGAGAAAAGGTATAAACAAAAATAAATCACAGCATATGTGGGGTGTAGTAATGGCAGAAAATTGGCTTTCTGAAACTAGGAACCAACTGAACCAATTTGTTCAGATAAAGGTTGATTGTTTCAAAACATCTGACTCTTCCTCACGACTCAAAACATCTCAAAATACTTTATCTTCAACCTGATGTAGATGGTTGACAGGGTTCACGTGGTTGTGGTGGTATAGATGCTGAGCAGATTTGAGCACTGCAATGTCAGCATTAGAGGTGTTTCTGAAAGGCAAGACATTGAATCTGGGGTCCAGCAGTGTTGCATTTGCCAGGGTCCCTACAATTCCAGTGCGCTAAAGTGTTGCTTGAGGTTGACAATGGGGTTTCCAATTAACTCAGTTGCTGTTGGAGATGTCAGTCTTTGAGCTTTCTCATTCAGTTTATGGAAAATCATCCTGACTGTGGGTATGATTTTTGAGGCTATGACAACTTTTTCTGCTGACATTTCAGAAGAATGCACGCAGCGCCATGTTTGAAGAATGGTCTGTGATGAGAAATGAGACTTTATCCCTTATTTCCCAGGATTGTAGCAATATAGTCTTGGCCTCTCTAATGTGCTCTGCTGTGTGTGTTTCAAGAAACCTTGTGACCCCCAGCACAGCACTGGACAGCTGGCTTTCATCTTTTATATAATGACAAGTGAAAGCAAGCTATGCTTCCATTTGAAGTCCACGTCAGATTTTCGAGGCAGAGTTTTTTTACCTCAGCCTTCAGCTTTTCTTTTGTCTGCTGGCACCTTGTGCCAACCATTTCCTTCAGTGCATGTCATTATGGGAGTACACTGTTGAGGTCCAGTTTATGAACAAAGGCCCTGAATCCCTTGTCTTCCATAACTGAGAATGGCTGTGAGTCCATGATAACCATGTCCACCAAGACCTCATTAAGTTCCTTTTGCCCTTCTATTAGAATAAGCAGATTAACCAATCAACTGCATTAGTATCATAACTGTATTAAGATTATTACATGCAGATTACCTGTGAATAAAGCCATTTTGTATTCATAGATATACACTATACACCTTGTGAAAATAAGGGCAATAGGAGCTAGGACCAAATTAACAGCAACAATACATTAATTATTATGCCTCAATAAATAAAACAGATCAACAAACAAAACAATACATACCTTTGCATTTAAATCTTCTGGATGCTTTGAACGTCGGCGTCTTAACACTGATGATGTGTCGATCACTAGGGGTAGAACTAAATAAGTATTACTTCTTTCTACTCCCTTGCAAGCATGTAATGACTAAGCATTATCAAGAGAAATTTCTATTTTTTATTTTTTATTTTTTGGTTGTATATGGTAATTGGTTTGGTTGTTTTGTGTTACATGTTGATTTACTTTTTTTTCTTTTTCTCTCTTTTATTACATGCTTGGAATAAATAAATAAATAAAATAAAATAAAATAAATAAAGTGTCAGATGTTGGTTACAAATATTACATTTGACTAAATTGGGCTGCAAAGCTCAAAATGCTCCCACACAAGTGACCTTGTTCTCTTTCTTGCTCCATCATCCAGATCAACCTCTCTAAATATCAAATATGTTTTGTCTCTTTCCTACACAAAATCTGGCCATTTTCATTGACTTTTATTGTGTTAACAGGATGTGGCACATGCAGGTAAAAGGAATCACTGAATGAGGATCAGCCCAAACTCTTATTTGACCATTCAGGTAATGGAAGTGTCAACTGACTCAACTTACTGAAGATCAGTAGTTCCATCCTAGTGGTGAACCGCCAAAATATCATCTTGTCTCATTCTCGTGAACCCAGTATCATGTATCGTCACACCACTAGTTGCTATGCAGGTTGAAGTAACTGTATAAGGTAGTGGTACCAGATGGCAGTGAGGGAACCGCATCTGAATGACTTCTCAACAGGAATTCTGTCAGGTAATGTGGGACAGAAAGCTCCTCTTGTACAGCAACCAGCCCCTAGAGGCTGCTTGCAGACATGAGAGGAATCAATGAGAACATCTGCACTGCTCAGACACCAAGCCTGAGCAGTCATACATGAATGAACTGCTTGACCAGACACGTTTTTGTATATACTGTTCACCACTGGAATATTTTTAGGATCATAATTATGATGTTCAGGATGGGGTCCTGGAAATGAAAAGACACTGTTTAACATCATGACCATTCTTATTTTTATGGCTTGCTAATATACATTAGATGGAACTGATTACATTTCACAAGTCCACTATAGAAAACTAGACAGCACTCAGAGCAGCTCAGTTTCCTCATAAGGCCATTAAAAAAACCCAGGATCCAAATACAGTATACAAATACTGCATCAAAGCAAAGCACAGCTAAATACACTGTAAACTATATCAATTATAAATATACACATCTATAGAAATTCACACACACTCAACTATAGGGCTGCAAATTACTCCAACATCAGGTTTACACTGATAGGAGAATGGCACTAGACATCTTTAGAGCTTCAAGTCAATCCAAATGACAGATTTATACAAATGGGAAGTTTTTAATGGCTGAAGAGTCGTCCTCTAGTTCACTGAATTACCAGTGTTAAGGAGGCTTTTTTTTTTTAAAAGACTGTAGATGTCAAATGTATTTGCTGGCACAGCTGCCTACATATCTTAAAATCCATAAGAGCTGTGCTCAGATGCTGCAAAGCCTGTAGGTGTATGAGATATTGTATGTTGAGCATCCGCAGGTTCATGGGGCTAAGGGGAGATGCTGATTAACATTTCTATATGTCTTATGCTGGGTGCCCTCTGATGCTACCCCATTACGAGTCTCTGGCCCTGTACACAACAGCACTTTCATTTCTGTTTTTCATTCTCCTGTGAAGCTCCTCCAATGCCCCATCATCTGAAAGCAAACCAGGTTTTATCTATAAGTAAAGAAAGCCTCTTAGGTAAGTGGGCAGATTTTTATTAATGTGTCAGAACACTTCTGTGGTACAATCACAGATCTTTATTTCATAACTGTACTGTATGTACAAAGTGAAAAGATTAATATGACACTACAATAACTAAAAAGCAATAATTCATGTAATGACACTTGAGAACAAAATTAATTTGCACAGATGCAAGTTTAAAAACAAGCTTCAGCATCTGTCCAACACAAAACATCGCACCGTCATCAAGGATCACAAGTTGAAATTAAGCATTTTTATTTGAAAAGTGAGAACAGATGATTCTGCTGGACAACACTCAAGTGTTTGTCTCATTGGTGAGTGCTTTGTATGAGCCTGGGCAAGAGTAAGCTAAAACTGAGGAGCAGCTCAACGTGCTGCCTGTGGAACTCCTCCAGTACAGCTGCTTCATTCGTTCTCAAACTTGCTGTATGGGTGGTCCGAGTCGCGGCTCAGACCTGCACACAGAGAGGAAGCAGAGAAGCAAGGTAGAGACAGTGGAGACAAAATGAGAAAACAGCAGCTGGAGGTGTGTCAGCGAAGACAATGTGCTGAGTTCTGACAGGTCACTGACATTTTCCATCTGTCTCAAATGTAGTTATTCTCAAACAAACACCATGTTCGTCCAAAGGCATTTTCATAGAAATTATGGAAAATTCCTCTTCTACAGTATATTCTTAATTTGTTCAGTCTCTGGTCTTCAGTTAATGCATGGCTGAAATGGTGTAGTTTATCAGTTCAGTCTTCCCCTGTTGTGCTGCCCTCTCTACCTGTTCTTCAGTTAGCGCTTTTCTGTATTCTATTATTATTAAACGATCCAAACGGGCATTTGGAGGGCACTTAGTATTGAACTCCAATAGTTAAAAGACTTGTGAGAGGCAGATTCTTGAAAAAAAAAAATCACTATTTAAGCAGCAGGAGCTGTGATATTCTGACTTTTAGTCTATACTGTGGATTGAGCTTTCCATCCTTCTACAATTCCCATAAAGAAACTCAGTCACGTCTTTCATTAGACCCTCAAAATACTGCTGGCCAAACAGCAGCTGGGCTGAAGGACTAAGAAATGAAGCTGAGGGAACTTGAGGATTTCTAACTACATTGGTCATAACAAGCAGACATTCACTGACAAGCTCAACAAGCTGAAGCAAAGCATTAGTCTACAGAGGTGGTCCTGAGAGATTAGGATGAAGAGGTTACGCTAAATTAGACTAACTGCAGACATCAGTGGTGGATGCTAAACAAAAAATTAGGACCAGTTCAACATTAAGGGAAATACATGTTTGCCTTTGTCCCAAGAGTGAGAGAGATTAAACGATTGATGATTAATTTCATGTCTGTGATGTGGTTAGGGAGTGAAAGCCAGGGAAATAGCAAGAAATTATCCCAACATGCAGCTCCCCTTAAATCTACCAGCTGTCGTTTTTACATTTCTGTTTACAGATGAAATAAAGTGGACAGTGGATTCATTAGTAAGCTTTACAGGTGTCCATACAGTAGGTGTAGTTTGTCCACACTGGGCAGCACTAGGCTAGTGTTTCCCCTCACTTCCCTGCTATTTTCATTAGCATTTGCATACAAGGCTAGGCTAATCATGTGCTAACTTCAGCTCTGTACTGTGGAGTAATCCATTAATTTAGCACTGTGCTTGTATAACATTTTCCATGTTAAGGGCTCACCTCCTCTGTTCAGACTGCTTGTTGCACTGTTAAACAGCTTCAGACGCCTCCTTTCCAGCATCTTTCCGACACTGCTGTATCAAACCACTTCTGAACCTGAAACGATCTGACATTCTTCTAACGGAACAGCCTTTTTTGTTTGTTTGATTTTCCATTTTCAGAAAAGTACAGTCATCAGCCCCAGCTGACACTGACTCAAGTGATATCACTTTAGGACATTCATCAGGCTTTGCATAGCTCCTTCTGGAGTAGTTTGTTTTTCACATAGCAGTAGTACTCCTCAACACCTGTAATGACGCTGAAGTATAAAATTAGTCAGGTCCTCCTAAGATGCACCATTAATCTTCTCATCTTCAGAGTGCTCTGATCTGGTTGGCAAGCCTGGTCACACTGGAGCTTTATGTCTGCGTGAATCTTGCACAAAATGATATTTGTGTATCTGTTGTATGTAGTGTGAAGGCTCCAAATCAGTGCTGATTTACTCCTGCACCGTAGATCTGTCTGCCTAGCTCACACAGGCTACGACACTGTGCCGGGAGTAAAAAATGCCTTGAGCAAAACCTGTAATTGTATGGATGTTGATTATACTATGTTATCGAATTATTTATTAATATTCTGGTTCAAACAGTTCAGCATACTTTCACCTAGAGAAGCCATTTAGATATCAAAATGTTAAGCTGTTCAGGGACATTCATGCTTCTATTCAGAAGTTTTCTAAACTTCATACTTTTGAAATATTTAGCTTTATTTTGAAAATCTTGCCCCTATTCAAATGAATGGGAAAATTCTACTTCAGCATACTTTCAGCTAGCAAAACCATTCAGGTGTCAAAATGTTCAGCATTTTTAGGGCGATCTTTCAGCACTCAGCATTCATACCCATTTTCTTCAGAAAATGCATTTCTCTAGTTATAATTTATATTTCCTTGGCAGGATAATTCTGACTAATAGTGACACAATACCATTTCTCATTTTACTGAATAACCTTGTGGGCCCCCCCTCATGGAATCCTCAGCCACCTGCAGTGATCCTCGACTGACAGCCAGTGCTTTAAGTAAACAATATGACTTAGTGTTTAGTGTCACACAGGATGTATAGCAGCTCCCTGAACTGTGTTTCTCAGAGCAGACCTGAATGAATATGAGAGGAATGTTAACCAATGGGAAATAATTCCTCAAACACAATCTAAATTTCTCACACATCAACAGCAGCAGATTGATGATCCCGTCTTTCAGAGCTCAGACGGAGGACATGTTTTCAACATCAATCCCTGAAGTTCTATGCCTCCACACTGGGGGTCACAGTGACTTCTCTGCCTGTCAAATTATCGATGAAAATGGGAGAATGTATTGCAAAAGTGCTGTTTAACGTTATGGTGCAAGAGCTGATGCCTTCTCATTCTGTAACTGCTTGTAATGGAAGTGTAGATATTAATCCAAAATTCTGATTTATTACAGCTTGAGTGTCAGTTCTATTATTTTGGCCACCATTCACAGCACTAGTAATAACACTGTAGTAACCAAGTTATTTGCTAATAAGATCTGGGAACACGACAACATCAAAGAGGCCCAATGGCACAAGTAGTCAGACAACTGTTAAACTAAACTAGAGACTGACTATTTATTTGCTTCTGTATTCTTTTTAATGACAAGGATTTTATTCCAGAGTTATGAAAGAGACATCTTCGCATATGCTGACACCGATGTTTGTTTGAGCTCATTACAGTAAATCACATTAGATGGTAGTGCACACTTTGGGCTGCAGTTTCAAGTCTCATCTCCTCTGTTACACCTAGCCGGAACCACAACTTTGATTTCATATAAACTACACAGGCAAGTGGCTGGAAAAGGTACCATAGGCTTTAAAGCGAGTAGCATCACCATCAGGTAATCCCCATTTGTTCCTTCCACAGCTCCTGGAAGTATTTCGCATGACAGCTGTATCAGTTGTTTCACAGCACTCATGGGAATGACCATACAGACAGCATCAGAGATGCACGGTTTAATCACACAGATGAGCTTATGCTAACTTGTCCAATTAGTTTAACTGTCAGAACCATGCGTACAACTTTGTTGAATGCTAAGTTGTGTCAATGTGCTGTCTCATAAAGGTTTATGAAATAAATGTATCATACCGTATAATTTAAACAATTTACACATTTTATGTATTCTTATTTCAACCAAAAAATTAAGATGAACATGAAATCAATTTTAACGTCATAAAATGACTGATTTTTAGCTTTCTGTGTGGTCACAAGTGAAAACAAAGGCAAAATTATGAAGCCATGTTTACACAGAAAGCATTTCAGATAAACTCCATCCAGCTGCTGCTACTTTGCTAACGTGCTAGTCACACTCCCTCTTCTCCGAGATACCCACACACTTCCTCCTCTCTGCGATACCCAAACTATGGGTAGTAAACATTCATTACATTTTACAGTCAAACTTCCATGGCCTAAAACTAAGTGGTCCAGATAATAAGGACACATGGTATACAACCTGTCTGATCAGCTGACTGCTTTTGTTTTTTCTTTGTTGGACTTTGTTTGGAAGATATTGCCATGTATGTCTGTGCAGATTCTAAGTCATCCATGTACTCCATGTACGTCCATATTGCCATGTACTGATATCTTCACAGTTTAACTAATGAGTGCAATGTCAGTACAATATACTACTATAAGAGCCTTAACATGAATAACTCAGGATGATCCTATTAGATGAAAACCACACAGCTAGAGAGGGAGAGTAAGTAAGCACATGCAGTTTCCCCATTCATTAGGAGACTTGAAGTATTTATTTAGGTAAATATTTATTTTACCCAATTTTGGCCATTTGCAATATGTCACTTTTGCTCCATGCAGACCTGTATGATACCAAGAGGGTCCTTTGTTCAATGACAAACCTTTGCTGTTTCAGTGGGTGGTCTGCAAAATGCTGCTCCCACATACAAGGGGACTTACAATTGACACCAGCATGTGATAAATTATGCATCAATTGATTTAAACAGACAGGACTTGGTTTAACCTATATGTGATCTGAAATGCCTGGCTTGGGGACCAGGTATTTACTGTTCAATAATGCATTGCTGGCACAGGGTGTGGAAATGAAAGCCAGTGAGTGTCCTGGAAAATCTGAAACCATTTCAGCATGCATCTGAGACCCAGCTGACAAGAACAGAACAGAGAGGAGGGTAGTTTACCTCTCACACTGTTAGATTGATCAGCTCCAGCACAGCAGACTCATACATCATGGGGAGAGATGGGTACTGAGTCTATAAGACTATCACTAAAGAAGCTGAGGAGCGTTCCCAGAGAAACACAGTGTAGACCAAGGCTTTACATACCATACTTCCTGCGGATCTCATCGTGCCGTGCCATTCTCTCCACTTTCCTGTAAAAATAAAAGGACTAAAGTTAGGTGACTGCAGAGGTCAGAGAAACCTTTCACTTTTACACCTGTAGTTTAGTTCATTTTGTCTGGACACTTGCTCTTCAGCTCAGGCCTGTTATAGGATACCACCGAGTTATCACAAATGACTGACCATTAGCACATTCATTGGAGAGCCTGGCAATGACATCTTTTCCATTAGCAGGCCCCATGTGGGGAAATCAAAATCCAGTGACTGACAGCAACTTGCTGCACCACTTTTCTGTTCTTTGCAGAAAATCTTTGTTCCTATTTCCTGTTGCGTGGATGGGTGTTACCAATGACTTGAATACCTACAGAGCACTGTGCACAGGTTTTGGAACTTTACATGTTTAGACTTCTATCAGTTAACAACACCATCAGAGAAGTGTGTGACTGGTCCCAAATTCATTCTGCAGCCTCAAGGACAATTCATATTTTCTGTGTCCATGTGTTCACTACAGTCCAGTGAAGTAAATATTGTGACCTTCCTGGGTGTGTGAGAGTCCACAAGGTCTCTATGCAGATGTTCGCTTGCAGGCCCAAAAATATAAGTTTGCGTGGACTGTCTGCTTGACAAGAAGTCCTGACAGTGCATGCACTAGAAAGTGGACGCCTGCAGACAGAAGTCTGAAGTATGAATAGGAAAACATGCATGTCCCTCGTCCATGACGTGGCCCCCACTGAGCCCTGAACTCAACATCATGGAGTCAGCCTGGGGTTACATGAAGAGAAAGACGCACTGAGACAGACTGAACCCACAGCAGAATTGTGGCCATTTATTCAAGATGCTGGAACAACCTACTTGACAAGTACCTCTGTGTAAGCGCACTGAGGATAACTACTGCTGTTCGCAAGGCCACTGATTTGGTTTGGATTTGCCCTTTGTTTAAGGCACTTTGAATGAGGTTTATGGATAAACAAAAACTATTCAAGGCATCCCTTTTGAAAGCATTTGCACTATGCAGCATTTTGTCAAAAGCATTTAAAACTTTTGCACTGCTTTTACAAAATATTAGTAAGATTGCTCTTAATTTTAATAATGTGTCACTTACTCAGCAACAAGACATTTAGTACATATTGTATCAACAGCTATGCTTGTGGTACCAATCTGCTCAGGATGCTGGACCACCACAGTGAATTGTGTGTCCATTTTAAAAGGGGGCACATCTCCATGCTCATAGTCCTAGGCCAGGACATCAACACACATTTCATTTTTAGTCCCTTGATATTAAAAGTATAGACATGATGAAATTTAGGGGATAATTACTTTTGTTTTCTAAGGATATACACAAGAAAATGCAGAGAACTTGCATGTTGTTCATGTTGATATGATTCATTGTTAAATTTAGTCAGGAACAAACAACATTCAGACCAGTTCATTATTACAACATAACCAGAAAAGGAGGACACTTAAGCTAGAGGATAGCACAACATTACAAAACCTCCCATTTGATTTATAAAATATCGGCTCATGCCAACAGTACCAATGGCACAATCACAGAGCAGCAGGCCTGGCACCAGCCCCTCACTCAGTCTTTCTATGAAATAAAGGCTTGGGAAAGTTTTACACTCTGGACCTCCATGGGCTTCACTTCACATCATTACTGCACAAAGAGCTGGCATAAATAAGTCTGTTTTATTTCCAGGTAGTGGTGTGTGAGAAGTGAGGGTGGTCGAGCTCTGTCTGCCATCTCACCGCCCTGCTGCTGGCTGGAATACAACTGACTGACTGACTGACTGACTGACTGACTGACTGACATGTTCACACTCCCTTCACATAAATATGGCTGCATTCAACAAGTGGGAAGAGAAAAGAAGAAAAAAAGGAAGCAGAGAGAAGGAGGGAATCCTTTCCAGGATTCATCTATGGAAACGCTGAGCTAGAGGGCAACAGATCCTCAGATCCAGAGACTGTTCTGCTCTGACTTCCAGGCTTTATAATATATTCAGACACCAGTCTCTAGCACTTTCTCTGTTGTGATGCAAACAGGACACATAAAAACAAACACACACACACACACACACACACACAAAAAAACCGAGATATTGTGGCTGGTGCAAGTTAACAATCAGTAACGCACCTTCCCCCCTTCCAAAGAAAAGAGGCACTGGGGCAGCTAAAAAGCACATAGTACTGAAAAAGATGAAGCACTTGTCTCCTCCATTCCGAACACCCTACTCACATAATGAACAGCATCTGTGTCGGTCAGTGCACTAGCTCCTACTTCAGAGACTTGAAAACACTCATCACAAGAAACCGTCACTAGATTCTGTGGCACGTGAGAGAAAAGCTCAGAAGTTGGCTCTCTCACAAACACACACACAGATCGAGGGCTCTGATGTTTCCACCACTGCAAATAATGATGACAAACCAGTTACTGACTATCTTTCTGCATGACTTCCCTGCTTCCCAACTCATTACCCAGAAATCCTTAGAGGATGGATGTGCTAAGAGCTAAGGCACTAAATAGAAAGATGAGGCTGAAACATTTATGGAGTGCACAAGGAGGAAGGCTTCCAGGTCTACTAAGTACTCCAACACACACGGCTGAATGATTCAGTGATAATCACACTGTTCCTTGACAGTGAATGTACACAACCTGGTGCAGTCCACTCTATTTCACACCACATTACCAAAGAGCAGCTGCACAGGCTTCACAGTCCAATTGGTGTTTTGGGATGTGAGCAGAGGAACACCAAGCTCCTCCTCTGGGAGATTGACTTGGTGGGGCTGCATACACCCACAGCAGCTGTTTGAATCTTGAAACATACAGCAAACTCTTTTGTTTGGGGCTATGAACTACTCAACTGTAGCAAATCCCATGTACAGTAGGTCCTGCTGGAATGACTTTAGAGGCTAAATTACCCAATGTGGTGAGAGAACAGGATTAAATGTTTAGTTTTCTAGCAGGGACCTGCTCTCACTTAGTACGAATGGAAGTATAAGGACAGAGAATACTTGTGAACTTGATGGTTTTGGAGAAGGCCAAGGAGGTCTGTGTTGCTTGCGCGCATTGGTAGACCCCCAAAAACCTTCAAACAAATAAGTGGTTAAGAGTATCGAGGTTTAATTCAACCCAGTTTTGATTCATTTTAAGGTAGTGTGTCAATTCATGATGATAAGAAAAACCCAACAAATCCCCTTTGAGCAAGCACTTGGAGACAGTGGGAAGGAAACACCCCTTTTAACAGAAGAAACCTCCAACTGAACCCGGCTCTTGGTGGGTGGCCTTGTGCCTCGACTGGTTGAGGTAAAGAATGTAAAGAAGCCAAGCCTGAAGATAAGAGAAAGACATGAATCAGCAAACCGTTTCATGACCCAAAACCAGTGAGATAACCCGGTACCCATGGACGACAGCATGGGAGCAGCCCGGTGCCAAAAGAAGAAGAACAAAAACAAACGGGGCAGAGAACAGCCTGTTTCAGACATTTCAACTAATCACTGAACACCTGAATATGAAAATGACAATTATTCACTGATATGACCTACTCTAAAAAAAAGCAAGTATTCCATATATTTTTTCTGTCTAATTAACAGAAGAAGACACATATCAGTGAAATGCGGCGTAATAAAGGAGTCAAGCCGGAGACACTGCTATTTGGGGTGAGGGTGTTAACCCCTTAACCACAGGGGAATCCCAATAAAGAACTTAGGTTTGATGAAGGTAGTGCCAACATTTCTGCAACAACTATCATTCATAACTCCTGAGCTGTAATATGCTGATATTTATTGTGTGGATGCTGTAAAGCATGAAAATAACAATTATTCACTGATATGACCTACTCTAAAGGAATTGTGAGGAATCAGAAAATGGCATTGGCTTTTGAATTACATGGCGCATTCCAGAGACAGTGCCAGCTCACTCTGTCATAGACAGCCATAGAAAAAAAAAAGAATCAGAAAATCCCCTCGAAGCAAAGTTAGGGCATTTGTAAATCGCCACACCTCCTTCATTTTCTGGAATATCTTGACATAAAAGTGATCGTGTTCATTGAAACCTCCTGCCACTTATAGTCAAGAGTTTTTTTTCGATAGGACTTATAGTTTTTCTTTGACTTGACTGTCAATTGTTCGAAGCCCATGTTTGACTGAAATCTACTGTAGTGTCCTCAAACTGCTGAGTCACTTAACAATACACCTGCTACTTTTACACACACAAACAGCAACAGAATAACACACACACACACACACACACAATAAAACCCATATACAATCCAAGCAAACCAGTGATGCGCAGTAACACACACAGGGGCACAGTGACACACCGGCACACACACACACACACACACACACACTTGTCTGCCTAAATAAGCATTCAAAATAAGTCCCCAAAATGTGCCAAATTTTCAAAATAAGAACCTCTGATTGCAAATTGTTTATATTAAAGCCCCAAAGCATGCCAGATTTTTTGTAACTTTTATACTTTTTAAAACATTCAGGTTTGTTCAGAATTTTTTTCCGTATTCAAATGAATGGGAAACTCTTCAAATCCTCCTCTTTCAGCCTTAACCAGTTCAGCATAGTTTCAGCTAGAAAGACCATTCAACCTTTAAACAATTCAGCAACTCTTCAGCAATTTATACATGTATTCAGCCTTTTGATATCTTTTACAGATTTTGAATTCTCACAGTTTGTTTTGTGGTGATTTTGAAAATTTCTCTGCTAGAGTGTCACATGACCCACACTAGCTCTGTCCTTCAACCTTTTCACAATTTTTCAGCTTGTTTTCTGCTCTTATTCTGCCTACCTTAAGCTTTCACACACAAATTATACTTGAAAACGGTAGAGAAAGTTGTGGGGTATTGTGATAGGATGAAGGGTTTTTGAATTATGTGGCACATTCCAGAGAGATTGCCGCCTCATTCTTCCATAGACGGCCATTCAAAAAGACGATACAGAAAATCCTCTCGAAGCAAAAGTTAGGGCACTTGTAAATCGCCACAGCTCCTTCATTTTCTGGAATATTTTGCCATAAATGTGATCAACACTTTTGTTGAAGCCTCCTGCTGCTTATAGTGAAGAGATTTTTTCGATAGGACTTATAGTTTTTCTTCAGTTGTCAATTGTTCGAAGCCCATGTTTGACTGAAATCTGCTGCAGTGTCCTCAAACTGCTGAGCCGCTTAATGATGCACCTGCTACTTTTACACACACAAACAGCAACAGAATAGCGCACACACACACAAAATAAAACCCAAACATATACTGTACAATCAAAGCAATACAGTGACATGCAGTAGCACACACAATGGCACAGTGACACACCAACACACACACACACAGAAACACAGACACAGGTTGGTCTGCCTTCAAAATAAGTCCGCAAATATGCCAAGTTTTCAAAATAAAAGTCTCTGATTGCATATTGTTTAAATGAAGGCCCCAAAGCTTACCAGAATTTCACAATAAAAGCCCCTGAATGCAACTTAAGCTCACATAAAGGCCACAAAATGTGCTGGATTTTCACAATAAAAGCCCGTGATTACAGATTAACCCACACGAAGGCCCAATAAAATTCCAAATTTTTTATATATAAGCTCAAGATTGTAACTTCAGCTCACCTCGAGGCTCCAAATTGTGGTGGATTTTCAAAATAAAAGCCCACCTTGCACATTAAGATTACATTAAATCCCCAAAACCTGGTAGAATTTCAAAATGGAAGCACAATTTTGAATTAAGCTCACACAAGCTCCCTAAAATAATGCCTGATTTGCATAATATTAAAAAACAAATTCAAAAATCATACCATTTAGCTTTATTTTGAAAATTCAGCCCCATTCAAATGGATAGGGAAATTCTACTTCAGCATACTTTCGGCTATCAAAATGTTCAGCTCTTCAAGGACATTCATGCTTCTCTTCAGGACTTTTCTAAAACCTTATAACTTTGAAATATATAGCTTTATTTTGAATGTTTTGCCCCATTCAAATGAATAGGAAAATTGTACTTCAGCATACTTTCAGCTATTTCAGGTATCAAAATGTTCAGCTCTTCAAGGACATTCATGCTTCTCTTCAGGACTTTTCTAAAACCTTATAACTTTGAAATATATAGCTTTATTTTGAATGTTTTGCCCCATTCAAATGAATAGGAAAATTGTACTTCAGCATACTTTCAGCTATTTCAGGTATCAAAATGTTCAGCTCTTCAAGGACATTCATGCTTCTCTTCAGGACTTTTCTAAAACCTTATAACTTTGAAATATATAGCTTTATTTTGAATGTTTTGCCCCATTCAAATGAATAGGAAAATTGTACTTCAGCATACTTTCAGCTATTTCAGGTATCAAAATGTTCAGCTCTTCAAGGACATTCATGCTGCTATTCAGAATTTTTCTAAACTTCATACTTTTGAAATATTAAGCATTATTTTGAAAATGTTGCCCCATTCAAAGGAATAGGAAAATTCTTCTTAAGCATACTTTCAGGTATCAAAATGTTCAGCTCTCCCAGGACATTCATGCTTCGTGTTATGGTTTGCCCCCCTCGCCAGGAGGGTGAGGGAGAACTGTGATAGGACTCAAGATTGCAGACCCAGGCGCTAGTAAAACAAGGGGGTTTAATGGAAAAAGACACAAAGTAACAACGTAACAAAGTCCATGTACATATACAATCTGGGTAGGACAGAGATGGTTGCGGAGACCAGGACGAACAGGTGAGCAAACAAGCTAAAGGCAGGAACCAGGAGAGTAGGAGGAGCAGGACGGACAGGTGAATCGACAAACTAACCAGGAGGACTGGCAATTGAAAAGGAAATCCACAGCACAGGAACTGTTAGTGTGGATATCAAAATAACGTCTGGCTAACCTCATGGCCATGCCGAGTGGACCTGACACTTCGACTCAGAATTTTTATACGCTTCACACTTCTGAAATATTTAGCTTTATTTTGAAAATTTCCCCCCAAATTAATGGGAAAATTGTACTTCTGCGTACTTTCAGGTAGATATACCTTTCAGGTGTCAAAATGTTCAGCATTTTATTAATAAGTTCAGCATACCTTCAGCTGGAAAAGCCATTAAGGTATCAAAATGTTCAGCTCTTTAAGGCCATTCCTACTTTATTGCATCTCATCCTTCAGATTACTCAACAAAGAACTTCAGCCATTTATTCTCAACTATTTCAACAAAGAACTTCAGCTATATCTTCTCATCTTTCAGCTGTTTCAGCAATTGATTTCAGGCATTTTCAGGACGATCTTTCAGTTTTTATTAGCGTCCACAGGCATTTTCGACAGGAAATGCATTTCTCTAGTTATTATTCTGGGATCTTCCGTCTGTTTTTTGGCACATTATAAGTCCAGCATACTTTCAGCTATACAGGCCATTCATGTATCCACCTGTTCAGCTCTCTCTCTCTCACACACACACACACACACACACACCTACTTGTTTTACCTAATATTTTCACATCTTAAGTTCAGCATAGCAGTCCAAAGACCTGCAGCATAGGTTGATTGGTGTCTCTAAATTGCCCGTAGGAGTGCTTGTGTGTGTGAGTGGTTGTTCGTCTGTGTGTTGGCCCTGCAATGGGCTGGCGACCTGTCCAGGGTGTACCCCGCCTTTCGCCTGCAGCTGGCTGGGATTGGCTCCAGCCCCCCGTGACCCCGTTTGGGACTAAGCGGTTTAGAAAATGGATGGATGGAAGTTCAGCATACTTTCAGCTAGAAAAGCCATTCAGGTATCAAAATGTTCAGCTCTTCAAGGACATTCCTACTTGTATTTATTGCATCTCATCCTTCAGATTATTCAACAAAGAACTTCAGCCATTTCTTCTCAACTATTTCAAAAAAGAACTTCATCCATTTCTTCTCATTCTTCAGCTGTTTCAGCAATTGATTTCAGGCATTTTCAGGGCAATCTTTCAGCATGTCAGCATTCACACGCATTTACGACAGGAAATGCCTTTCTCTAGTTTCACTTGTTGGCCCAAAATGTAGAGATGGGTGAAAAATGAAAAGAAAAACTAACATAAAGTGAACAACACTGACTCCTTAGAGTGTCTCCAGGGCAGCTTCAGTGCTCCTCTGCTGGAGGGAGGAAACACCATCTTTCCAGAACATAATCCCCTATTGTGGTCAACACACTCTCCTACTCGTGAGGCCATTCAGTAGCCTGGAGCTGCAACCACTAGTCAGTTCACTGACTGGAAATTAGCCAGCAACTACTTTGGAGCAAAAGTTGCTTAGCTTATTTTCTGGTTTTGCCTTCTTTAATGTAATTAAAACACATTTGAAAACGCCTTTGACTCTGAAAAATCAAAACAGGCATTTTCCCAAATGCTGACATTCTGTGAATAAGAAGATAATATGATTAAGAAAATAATCAGCAGATTAATCAGTGACCCCTGCATTTTTTCTTTCCACTCATTTATCCAGGATTTCTCTTTCATATTTCACCCATCTTTATTTTTAATACAAATTACTTTTTTGCCAAACTTTTTTTTTTCCAAAACTCATCTTACAAATTTCCCTCAATTGCTACCAAATTTAATATCTGGATGTTCCAAGATGTTTCCTCTTTCTATTGGTACTATATAACATTTTCCTATGACTGGTTGTCAAACTGTTTTAAATATTATATATAAAATGAGTTTCTATAACTCTGGAAATCTCTATTCAGCTGCAACCATGATGACATGTGCCCCAAATAAGCCTGCAAAATCTGATGGCACATTGCCTACAGATGGCAACGTGCGACCCATTCTTTCACAAATGTTTGTAGAAGGGGTCTGCATGCCTAGGTGCTTGATGATATACACCTGTAACCATAGAAGTGACTGGAACACAATATAGTGTATGTCTTGGTCCTGGGCTATAATTCAACCGTATTGTTTATCAGCTTTCCCTGTTACCATTTTGAAATGATGTCATCATAATAAAAATATCAATTAATCACTAAAGTTTTGTTTTACAGATGTGAAGAACTTAGTCCAAGTCTAGAGTTATTAAATGCAGAGCAACATGCTGCTCTGTAAAGCTGTTAGAGCAACATGCTGCTCTGTAAGCTGTTAGTCAAATGA